GGCCACGCGGCCTCGCGGACGGTCCTCTGGTGCGCGCGCCCGGCGTGGTCCCCTCTTGCGCGTGCCCGGGCCGACCGGGTTTCGCGCCTAGGGGTAGAGGGCTCGTGACTCCGGTGCTCTCCTCCAGCGTTCCTCTTCCGTGCGCGCTGGAAAACCCTAACTACGACGAGCTAAGGAAATGATCCTTGCTGAACGCCAACGCCTTCTGTCTTGTGTGCCTGTGTCTATTTCAGCTAAGACCACCATTTATTTTAAATCAATTACCAGTAATATTTTCTATTTGCATTAAAAAGGTAGCAAGTTATAATTTTTAAATTCATTTATTCTGTTTGGCCCTTGTTTTATCATTGGATCCCCTAAGTTACTCCGCTGTTTCCCTGACTGACACCTTTGGGTGGTTGAGTTCTTCATTTTAACATCCCGTGTGACCCTGTCATGCATTCCCCGGCCCCCCCCACCCCGTAACTCTCCTTGGACAAGCTCTCAGAAGAGAAATTATTAGGTTAGATAATTCCTGCACATTGCCAGGCTGATTCTTTTTAAAATGTTCGGAATTTACCTTGCTCGTGTGTGACATTGCTTCTTTCACCCAGACGTGAATGCTCCTACTTTGTTTCCAAGGTTAGCAAGGCACAGCCTCTCTTTGGAATCATTACTGTTGAGGAGCTTGTTTAAAATTGCACCAGGTAGCTCAATCTGACCTTGAACTCTGGATCCTGCCCTGGGATTGCTTCAGGCATTTTTTTTTTTTTTTTAACTGTAGTGCCTGCCTGTCTGCCTTCATGGTTTTCCTGCAGAATCTTTGTGTGGGGTGTGTGTGTGTATTGGTATTACTGCATAAGTAATCCTAGGTGCTGGAACAGGAAAAGATGGTCAGTAACCATCTAGCTTAACTCCCTTATTTTGCAGATGAGCCTGGGGCCATGAGAGGTGACCTGGTGATAGTTACCAGCTGCACAGCTGATTAAGTAGCAGAGGAGATTAGAACTCAGTTCCTGGCCTCCCAAGTGAGTACCCTTAACTACTCATCAGGTCTTTTCTCACTGAAGGGTGGCCTAGTAAGTAGTAGAATTTTAAAAAAAAAAATTTTTTTTTAAAAACTCCCCTGGCTTGTTTTCTTTTCTAATGAAGGACTGGAAAATAGAAAAGTCATCTTTTTTTGTGACCAGCACTAGAAATTTATTACTTAGAATGTCGACCCCTTCGAGATTTTGATGTTTTTTCCCCAGGTTCTCCATGTTTGGATAAAATACTCCTGTATCTCAGAGGGGCTGGATGCAGAGCTCCCAATACCAAAAAGTGCTCAAGTTCCATATATGTGTCACATCTAACCTATGTTGATGGTCACTAGATTACTCCCCATGTGTAAGATAATGTGAATGGTTGCGGTAGAGTGTTGTTTAGGCAGAGATGACATGGGAAAAGTCCTTTAGGTCTGTAAAGGCAAAGTCTTTGGTTGGACTTGCAACTTCGTTTTACTAGGTTGAGCCAAGCTTGGCTGGACTCACAGCTAAGGAGACATTTATGTGCCCATCATCTGGTTCTCGTTTAAGTCTTGATTGTTTTAAAATACCTAGTTATTTTAACCAGAAAATGAGGCCTGAAGAGAGGGAAGGAGAGGGTGGTGGTTAGGATTTCTTGGCTAATGTTCTGTCGGTTGACATGTCGGACCACATGTTATAAAGGACTCCTCTGCACCAGTGGTTCCCAGTCTGTGGGTCAAGACCCCTTGGGGCCGTTGAAAGATCTTTTCACAGAGGTCACACGTCAAGTATTTACATTATGAGTCATAAGAGTAGCAACGTTACAGTTAGGAAGTTCAGTGGAACAGACTCCCAAAAGTTGTCCTCTGCATCTGTGTGCATGCTGTGGCAGATGCTGTTACTTCTGTCCCACTAAATAAAATGAATGAGTAAAACGCAGAAAAAAAACCCTAAAGGAGAGTGTGTTTTGGCTGCGCAAGCTTCAAAAATCTGCATTTGTGCAGGCATCTTTGTAGACTTGGATGCACCTTCTGAGCACCGAGTGCTCCTGTCTACCTTGTGTCAGTGGTCATTCATAAAGGTCTTATGGATTACAGCTGTTGAAGTGCATGGTGTTGTAGGCGCTGGCCCTGTGGGGTGGACATTGGTGAGGAGGGGATGGATTTGAAGTCTCTTCCACGGACTTGGTCAGTCTTTTTAGGGACCAAGGCTACCAGAGAAGTAGGATATTTTTCTGTCTCCTTAAAGTCCCCTTAAATATCTGCAAGAGACTGGATTTAACACGCCTCATCATTGGGTGAATAGAATTTAACACACATACCATACCTTCTCCCCACCTTCTTCAACCCATTGCTAACTGTGAGCAGATCCTGGCATATTAGGCCACTTGGTGACTTCTGACCGGAAATAGAGTGCTGGGACTTAGCATCCACTTATGAATCTGGAGGGAATGGAGTCCTAGAGAGTGAATGTGGCTGAGTTTGAAGGGAGAAGTTTACCAAGGTGACCTTGGCAGAAGGAAGACCTTTTCTTCTGTTTATGGTTCAAGAGTCTTATCTCCAGCTTCAGAAATTGTCAGAACTATTCCTTCTGCCTTATCCAATTTAAAAGATGAAAACTTAAAGTTACTTGAGCCAAGTGATGGGAAAAATTGTGGTGTCAAGACCAATTTACTTGTACAGAATGGATTTATGGGCAAGTCATTAAGTACCAGGGAGTACCAAGGAGCCTAATGAAGAGTAATGCAAAGGGTCTGGCTTCCTGGGTGATGAATACAGCGAATTTGAGGCAACCATCCTTGTTCCAGATTAACTTCAAAGGCATCCCTTTCAAGCCATCTAGCAGAATGTACTCGAGAGAACAAATGAGGGCCTTGCTTTCAGCCCATCCTTTCATGTGGCTCGGAGTCTGTACAGAAAAGGCCTTTGTTAGGAAGTGCAGATAGTGACACATGCGGGGAAACCAGAGGCGGTGTCTGAATTAATGTGCACTCTGCCACCGTAAATAGGAAGTAGGACACAGCAGATCCCTGCCCTCAGGTTTTCCTGACCATGGTATCCTCCAACTAGCCAGTTCCTAAGACATGCTAGCACATGCTGGCTGGGTTCTCCTGATGGTCCAGATGATTCCAGCTGAGCCTGTGCTTCTGTTATCCGAGAACGAATGTGGTCCTGCCCTGCGCTTCAACAGCGTCTCTGTTTTGCTTGTGTAGATTTCACTTTAGAATATCCAGTGCCTTTGCTGAGCTTCTCTCTGCAGCTAGTGGACTTTTCTGTCAAACTTGGCTCATGTTTTCAGCAATCCTCCTCTGGTGTGCCACATCTGGGCTCAGTCCTCTCTTGGTAGACCTCTGTGTGTGATTCACCTGAAAGCATACAGTCTTTATGAAATTTGCCACTTCTGTGTGAGTGTAGACTCTGGAGAGTAAACACAAGGCCCCAAAGCCATTTCTTACGGTTACAACCTCACCTACATCTGAGGCTTAGTAGGCACTCTAAGTGTGGATTGCCCTGGGAAGAGGTTGATGGTGATTGAAATAAAGATGAGGTTCAATAGAGGTGTTACTTTTCGCAAGCTTAGAAGGAAGAGTATTTCTGCTTTCTAAAAGGTGCGGGCCGTTAACATTTTTAAAGCCTAGGTTTGTGTTTTCTTCTTTCACTTGTTTTTTCATCCAAAAATACAGCACCAGTGAAATTAATTTCTGCATTTACCATGAACTAGGTTTTAAAAAGTGTGTGTGTGTATGTGTGTGTCTGTGTGTGTAAGGGGGAGCAGAGTCTCTCAGAGAACCTGGAGCTCACTGGAGCTAGACTGGCTGCCTGGCAAACTTTCGGGATCTTCCTGTCTCTGCCCTCTAGTGCCAGAGTTACAGATGTCTCAATGCCTCTGGCTTTTACCTGGTGCTATGGATCCAAGCTCAGGTCCTTGTGCTTGGACAACAAGCACTTTACCCAGTGAGCCAGCTTCCCTGCTAGGTTTGGATTTTGGCTTCTAATGCAAATAGACCTTTTTCTTATTCCGGATTGTACATGAGTGAACTGGAATAGTAGAATTTGGCCTCTGTGATTGGAAGTAACCCCAACTCAAATGGTGTCCCTAGGAGTTCTTAGCTGTAAAACAGCGCATGTGCAAGACACATATATGTGGCTTGTAGATGAAGGGGAAGATTTGTTTTACTAAACTCATGAAAAGTACTGAATCTGTTACTTTGCCATTTTTCTCTTTAAACTCAAAACAACACAAGTAAGATTGTTGTGTGGCCAGCATCTTGGATAAATAGCAGTTGTAATTTTAGACATTTTTTAAGACTATGGACCTAAGAAAATGAGCCGACAGCTTAGTGGAAAAGTTAAAATTTGCTAAGCAAAATAATCAGTTGATTTTTTTTTAACAGAAATCATGTTAGCAGCTATAGATGGTTCAAGTGATAATTTCTAAAAATTTGTATTTTCTTTTATTTAACCTGAATACTTCTTGGGTAAAGAGAATTATTTCCCTTTTTGTCCCTTTGATTTATTCATGTCCTTAACACACAGAGTTTGACTTCTGGATTCTAAGTTTCTGAAGTGCAAGTCTGGCACATATTTTCTGATTGCCTTGCACAGTGTGTGTGTGTACACTTTGGTTGAGCTGCTGAGAGATCTACCACTTAGCATCCCAGCTTCACCAATTGGCCACTCCTCCATGCATGGACATGGAGAGCATCTACACGACACTGGGTGGATTGGATGGATATTCGTGGAGTGAAATCAACAATGCTATTTATGGAAGAATGTGTGGTCTTGATTAAAAACAAAAATCTAGAATTGGAGATGGGGCAAGTCCTTAAAATAGTGCTCCGTGATGCATGACAGCTATATAAGAGACGTTGCTGAATTTCACTAAAACAAAAGCAATTTCTAGTCTCTGACTTTTGCTTACATGACTAATAGTTTTCTTTGTTTATTGAAACATTTTAGGGGGGTAACTATTGCATAACAAGATAAAGCTTGAAAGGTGTGATGGGACTTGACATGTCTGGTCCAGTTAATTTGGGTATGCAATACTGTTTCTTTAAGTCTTTCCCTGTTTGCTCGGAGCACTCCTACCACAATTGTACCTGAGCAATTCAGTCTAACTTAACCACCTCTGACCTTGAGCAGGGTGTTCAACAGTCTATAAATGAGGCTGGGGAGGTGGCTGTCAGAAAATTTGTTTGTTGATGTTGAACAAGCATAAGGACCTCAAATCCCTTGCAATTATGTGGAGAGCAGAGCAGGCAGATGAGGGCTCTGGAGGGGATTCCCTGGCCAGCCAGGCTAGCCACATCTGTGAGCTCTAGGTTCAGCGAGAAACCCTATCTCAGAAAGTAAGGTGGGTAGGGACTGAGAAGGACATGCATCAACAGCCTCTGGCTTCCACACTCATGTGCACTCAGGAGGTATCTTTTCACGCGCATAGCATACACTAATGCTGCTTCATTGGATAGTGAACTTTAAATGAATCTTTACATGTAGAGTACTTGGAAAAGTGCTGGTTTTACTTTAGGTTTTAGTTATGACTTTTCAGAGAAACATTTAGCTGTCAGTTGTTGATGAGTGGACCTACTTTGTATAATGCGAGCTTCACTTGGACTTAACTTAAATATTGTACCATATTTTTGTTTCACCACAATTTAACAGAAGTCATTTAATCTTTTTATTCTGTTTTCTTCCGTAAAATGAGAATATTATGCCTTCTCCTAGGGTTCTCACGGAGATTGCATGTTGTGTTTATGGTGTTAGAGTTGCCAGAGGTGGCTATATGGGTGTCTTGCATGTGACACAGCAGTACACGTGATTAGGAATAACTGCTCTGTGAAGAGCTCTAAGGCTGCTCTGGGCTGCTGCAGGGCTGTGTGAGGTGACGTGCGCAGCAGCCCGACTGTCCTGTGCATCAGGACATCATACAAGTCCTTTGATGGCTTGTCTCCTATAGATATGTTGAGACCCGAGAGTGTTGTGTTACCTTGTTTTGGTTTTGGTTTTTTGGTGACTAATTAACTTTAGTGTATACATTTATTGCTCTTTCCTATTTCTGACCAGGATTGTTAAGAATGAGTCTGCGGAAGCAAACCCCTAGTGACTTCTTAAAGCAGATCATTGGACGGCCAGTTGTGGTGAAGCTAAATTCTGGGGTGGATTATCGAGGTAGGATTTTCATATTTGATCCTAACTATCGTAACTAAGAATCTATGACTTCTTACTTTTTTAACCTCTTAAACGTACTCGGTAGACCAAAATGTTGCTCACTGACAATTTTTCTGTCTTCTGCCTCTGAGGTGGCTCATTTCATACTGTAAAGCCTGCCGGTAGTGTAGGCCCTGGCTCGCAGCGTCTGCTCAGTCCATCTCCTGTCTGTTCTGGGAGCTCTTCTGCCTGAGTCCCTGGCACCAATTCGGGAGGCAGAAGTAGCTTTGCTACGAAACACTGGGAACCGAAGAACACCTGGGCTCAGCAGTATTTGCTTTTGCAGAAGAGTTCAAGATTGGCAACTGTTATTTAGACAGACTCATTTTACAGCATGGCCATTCGGTCATATAATGTATACCCAGAAATGCGTCTTTGTTCTTAGAATCCTTTGTAAGGAGCTCTGGGTACAATAAATGTACATTCTTGTGATCCCAGCACCAGCAAGAGACAGGAGGATTTGGAGTTTGAGGAGAGCTTCAGCTATATCAGATTTTGAAGCAAGCCTGGGCTACATAAGACCCTGTCTCAAAACAAAAAGAAACAAAAACCCAAAAGGGTAATGAAGACTACTGAGAGCCAAGTTGAGGCCACTGAAGGTGAATGTTGTGTATGGAGTAGAAGCAGAGCTTGGGTCTTAGTGACAACAGCTTCAAAAGCAGCTCTCTGGAATAATGCCAGATTCTGTTTTACCAGTTAGGAAATTTCTACTCTTCTCGAATTAAGGTGTGCTAAACTACTTAGACTGTTTCAGAGTGGTGGCTAATTCATCAGCAAAGTTTTGTTGACATTTCTTTGTCTCTTCCTTACATTTTTTTAAGGTTTTCCTCTGTCTGCACATTTACGTGTAGCCCAGTGTGTGTTGGTTACTTCACTACATTGTCATTTTGTTTTCCATAATCTGAGATTTTGTGGTTACCCTCACCAAGGAAGTAAGGAGCCAGGGCGAACACAGACTTGACTGGAGAGCTTTGTTAAGAAATCAGTGTTGGCTGGAAAGTTGGCGCAGCAGTGGGAGCACTGGTCCTGCAGAGGACTCCGAGTTGGTTCCCAGCACCCGCAGGGCAGCTCACAACCATCAGTAACTTGAGTACTCTTCAGACACACCGTGCACATACAGTTAAACATAAGACTGAAATAAATATTTAGTAACTCACTGAAATCCCAGTACTAGGGGAATCAAGCGGGAGGGTGGGGTTCCATCCCCATTAGATCAGAAAGAAAAGGCAGGGACTAAAGAAGTGGCTCTGCAGTTAAGTGTATAGTGAGTGCTCTTACAGAGAACCTGAGTTCAGTTTCCAGTGTCCACATTGGGTAGCTCCCAGCCTCTGAAATTTCAGCTCCAGGGGATCCCACAACTCTGGCCTCCAAGGACACCTCTACTCATGTGCATGTACCTGTACACATACACATCATTAAAGTAAGATGAAATCTTGAAAAATAAAGGGAAAATAGCTTTGTTTTATTCTTAGTTTCTTGACATTAATAGCATATTGCCAATGTTTTTTGTCTTGCTTGCCCTTTGAGTCAGGATCTTGCTATAATACCCAGCTGTCTTCGGGCAGTTCTCTTTCTGTCTTGGTCCCTTCCCATCCCCAGTGGCCAGGCGGTGGTGGCACACACCTTTAATCCCAGCACTCAGGAGGTAGAGGCAGGCAGCTCTCTGTGAGTTTGAGGCCAGCCTGGTCTACAGAGAGAGTTCCAGAACAGCCAGAGCTGTTACACAGCAAGACCCTGTCCGATAAACAGAGAGGTAGAGACAGGGACACGGAGAAAGATAGAGAATGAGAATTATGGTTGTGTGCGCCGCTTTGCCCAGTTTTCAGCCATAAGCTTTGGGTAAGCCCAAAGGAGAGAGATAGGGATTTCCATGTATTTGACAACTGGTAAGATGGGCACATTGTGTGTGGTACTTTCTCAATATCCGCTCTTTGAAGAGGTTGGCTATATTAGCCTTTTGTTCTTTTCTCTTTAGGGAAAGTGTTTCTGTTTATAAAAGGTTAATACATGTTTTAGTTTGTTATTTAGGCCTTCTGCGGAACCTGTGTTCTGTAACAGTTCTCTGGCTTGTCATTTTTCTTCTTGCTCTTGGAGAAGAGGAAGAGCTACAACTTTAACACCTTGAACGGTTTTGTTTTGTGTTAGTTTCTTGCAGTATGAGCGATTAAACCCAGGGCCTTACACGTGCTAGGCAATAAGATTAGATATTTTTAGTAACAGCAAGTAATAGTTGCATTATGTTTTGAATTACTGTTTTGACTAATTCCATATCATATCCTAGACTTTCTTGCTAATCTGTAAATAGTCTTTAAATGTAACCCATTAGAGAAGCAGCCAACTGAGAAGCTGTCCTGAGCTTCTCTGGCTGAGAAGTAATTGTGCCTGATAGTTGACAGTCCAGTCTGATCCTTTGCAAGTTTACTGCTTCTCATAGAATTCTGCTCGGTTAATGTCTTGTGTTCTGATTACACACACACACGGGTTTGAAAAGAAACCTCTGTGTAGAGGATAATGGGGGCAGAAGCAGAGAGCGAGGAGCATATTAATGAAGTTAAGATTTTAAATGGGACTATTGGCTTAGTTAATTCAATTGAATCTGTACTATGTTTTTATTCTTACAAATACCATTTTAGATTAGAGGCTGAGAATTAGAAGCTTACTGGTTTCATCATTAGAAAAACATCACCTGGTCAGATTTTAGAAATTTATACCATCTTAACACAATTAATGATTCACTTGAGCTGTTTTCCTTGAAAGCTCTCTGGAATATTTGTAGCCATTTTTCTCTATTAGTTTTGATTTTAAAAATAGTGTTAACGCTGACAAAACGGAATGCAATGTGTTGTAATGCAGTATGTTGCTGTCTGTTCACAAGCTGCTCTTGACTGCAGTCACAGCTTTGAGCTGCTCTTTCAGGAGCACCTGCTGTCTGTTATCTTAACAGATGTGGAGACTTCCTCTTAACCCGGAGCACATTCATCTGCTGCATGCGCGTCGTGCAAGAGTGAGATAAATCTGCCAGATCCGTATTTCACCCAGTGACTAAAGTAACAAATGTCACTGGGTTGGAGGCTCATTTGTCCATGTATAGTTGCTATGTCTGTCCCTAGCTCCCAAAGAAGAGCATTTCGGTTGGAATATTCTAATGCTTATACTTTTGTGAAGGCTTTCAAAGTTGCCGTGGTGATCACACACACCAGGAGCGGAGTGACAGTTGGTTGCCTGTTGTGGAGTTGTGGATGCAGTGACTCCTCTCATGCTATACCCATCCAGCCTTCATTCAGATTGGCACAGAGTAAAAGCTCCTTTTGTGTTTAAGTCTATTGAGTTTTGTTTACAGTGTGAATTTTTATATTATGTGTTTGGAGGCTAATGAATAAAGTGATTGTCGGTTCTAAGATATCCCCTGTAATTTCAGTTCTTTCTTATTTTTCTCCAGGGGTCCTGGCCTGCCTGGATGGCTACATGAATATAGCACTGGAGCAAACGGAAGAGTATGTAAATGGGCAGCTGAAGAATAAGTATGGGGATGCGTTCATCCGCGGAAACAATGGTAACCGCTTCCTTGTGGTAGTATTCAGAATAAGACTTTGTCTCCTATGTGAGGGCGCTGGGGGTTTCTATGTGATGGTAAGGCCCCTTTCATTTTATTTGTTTGTTGTGCTTATATCTTAGATTCCTGCTGTTTGTTGGGTAAAGTATTTTTAGGGTTCATGGAGTCCTTTCAGAGGGTCTTGTTCCATCAAGCCACATTAGCCTTGAAGGAATCCACAGGTTCTCATCCTCTGTGGAAACAAAAGCAGAACTTCTTTTTCCAAAGCAATATATCCTTAGACCCAAGTTTTAAAGTCAAGACACCTTTAAAATTGTATGTTGGTTTAGCTTAGCAGCTTCCCCAGAATCAAATGTTTCTCTGCAAAAAATTCAAAGAAAACACGATAATATGCATAATGCAAACTGTATTTTTCATCTTTACATGGCTTTTTTTACTTACTACTTTTTAAGATTTATTATCTTTACTCCTTTAATCTATATCTGTCTGTACTCTTATCTATACTTTTTCCTTTCTTTCCCATGCCTATGTACATTTTTTTAAATACACTGTGACCCATTCAGAAGTTTACTTTTGTCTGAATCTGTCTCTATTCTGCATCTATAATCATTGTCTGACCAGAAACACGTCTTAAAACGATAAGCGGGCATGGTTAGTGAAGAGGGATGCTTAAAAGAAATCCCACACTAGCTCAGAATTGAGAAATAGATGGTTATTTATTTAGGGGTAGACTCACAAATCAGAATCCTGCTTGAACGGAGACCAGAAACCGAACTCCTCTACCAGAACAGAGATTGTACATGGCTTATATAGTATAAGAGGCCACACCCCAGTGGGCGGGTAACTACTAGCTGTAAGACTTCCTACAGCAAGCTAGGACCAACTCCTTGTACCTGCTTGTTGGCTCCACCCTGTTTAACATGGCAGAGGTGTATTCGCCTCCTCTGCTAGCCATGCTCACTACCCAGCTCCAGGGATGCAGAGGACCTCCCAAAAGAGCCAGAGCTATTTTTGCTACCAGCATGAACCAGGAAGTCGGCTCTTAAAGAGGCCATGCAGTTTTTGCTGCTAATGCTGAGTCAGGAAGTCTTCTCTTAAAGGAGCCATGCCTGCGCTCACCACCAGCAAACAGAGCCTATCTGAGAAAAATGCAGCTACCAAGAAGCTGCAGTTGACTCCCATTTTTGCAGGTCTAGAAGTCGTATTTTTGTTGTTGTTGTTGTTGTTTTATTTTAGTTTAAACTTTCTTAGGCTGTATGTCAAAATTCTTGCCCCATGTTGGCGCCAATATGTGAATGGAGACTGTACTTTAGTTTCCCAGCCGTCCAGACCCGAATAATCACACAGAAACTATATTAATTACTACGGTTTAGCCAATACCTTAGGCATATTCTTAGCTAACTCTTATATCTTAAATTAACCCATCTCTATTAATCTGTGTGTCTTTGCAAGTCAATGGCCTACTGGTAAGGTTCTGGGCATCCTTCTTCAACAGTTTCGTGGCATCTCCCTGACTCTACCTATTCTCTCTATATATCTCTTTGGATTTCCTGCCTGGCTTTATTCAGCCCTGTCATAAGCAATATGAAAGTGTGTCTGCAACTCAAAAAAAAGTCCTGACTTATATACGTCTCTTGCTTGCATTTCAGTAGAATTTCTTCTACTTTCATATTTGTATTACTTGACATCTTTTGCTCGGAAATTCTCACCTCAAGATACTGACAGCAGGAGGTACTCCTACACTGATGTCCATCCAACTTGTGTAGTTTCCCTGGCAGTGGCTCTTCTCACTTCCATGTTGTACTCGGTGACAGCTGTCTTATCCAACAACTTGTACTTGACTCTTAAAGAGGATCTGGGTTCACTTGGTTGGTCTGTGCTGGGTTCTTGAGACATCTGCTGTTCACTTGGAACATGCGTGTCTGTGTCTGAGGATGTGTGGGGTAGGAGAAAGGTACACCTGAGGTGGTTGCTTGACCAGTGGCCCAGTTGCCTCCTTGAACCTGTCTCTGCAGCACATGCTCTGTTGTGCTCAGTAAGTTGGTTGTGGTGTGGCCAGCAAAGTTAAACATTGGCTGGTTCCAAAGGTTGGTACTGCTAGCAATCTCAGGATAAGCACTTGCTTATTCCTAAAAATGCCTTCTCTTTTTCTTTCTCCTCTAGAAATTATAAAAGTGAACAGAAACTATAGTTTATATTGGAGAGATAGATGAAAATATACTTTTGTTTAGTATTTCTGCGTGCATGTAAACAAATCACATGTGTGCCTGATACTTGAGGCCAGACATGGTCACTGGACTCCCTGAAATTCAAGTTACAGAGGATTGTGAACCGCTTTGTAGGTACTGGGGACCCAGCATTGATGCTCTGTAAAATCTGCAAGTGCTCTTCAGTGATGAGCCATCTCTCCAGCCACATGTGCTGGCCATTCTCCTTGTGAGATCTAGCCTAGAGGATTTAGCTGCTTAATTGTGATACAGCTAATTACAAAACAAGTCTTTTAGGCACATTCACTTTTAATTTCTGGTCATAATTTGTAAAGTCAGTAACATGTATACATAAGACTAGTTGTAATCATGTCAGATATCAAAGCCAGGTTTAGACTCAAAACTCATTTTATACTGATCTTCTCTTGCTTGGTCTAGAAGTCCTATGCAGAGGTGTTGGCCAGGCCCTACTTGTCTTTAAATCTGCTACTGTGACGTAGGAGTGATCGTTAATTCTTTCTGTCTTTTCAGTGCTGTATATAAGTACACAGAAGCGAAGGATGTGAAGACGCCAGGAGCAGCTCTCTTCACACTTGGATGTACTTTATTATGAAGAGCTTGGTTTTTTTGTTCTTTTACGACCCTAGTTGCTGCCTGTTTTCATAGTGGTTGGTGTGTTTTGTTTTGTTTTTTAATTGACGTTTAAATAAGACGAAAGTGTTACTTTACAAATCTAATCTTAAATGTTTTATGTTCACATTTACTCCTGTCTGTACAGAATATTAAAATTTAAAAAAAAGCAAAAATACTAATACAACTCTCCTGCATTATTTTACCCGTTTCCAGCAGTGTCGTTTATTGAACAATCTAGTGGTGGTATCTCCACAAAAGATTGGGAATCTCTTGATTTAGAAATTGTGGAGCCATGCCCCACCAGTTCTGTGCAGGTAGGCATCTTGTGTTGACTTGCTTCCTCTCAGGAGCAGTGGCATAAATCGGTGTAAATCTTGGTTTGCCCAGCCAGGAGGTTTTCAGCTGTTTCTGTGTAACGGCTGTGGTCGAGGTGGAGTACATAACTCAGTTTCCAAGTGCTCAGATATGACTGGGAAGGAGTTTCTCCTGACTCTTGCTTAGCACGTGGCCTTGGAGAAAGGGTTGTATTCTGGTGAAATGTTGCCTGGCACCAGCATGTCTTGAGGTCGTGTGATTCCTGATGCTGAGGCTTGCACTCTAGAGACTGTGTTTGGTTGCTTTGGTTGTGTGGACACTGGAAGACCGTGGAGACTGTTCTGACTTTCCTCACCCCTCCTTCAATCTAAACAGAATTCCTGTCTTGGGACATGGAGTGTGTTTTTTTAACAATTGCCTGATTGGATCTGGGGGTAGATGGGAAGTTAGGGAGGGAGAGAGGGGAGGTGTATGTGACATTTGTCTCACTTAAACAGTAATCAGAAACAATTAATAACTCAGGAAAAAAGAGAAATGTTTAGTAAGGTTTGATGGTGTACACACTGAAAATAAAACACTTTATCTGAAGCTTCAGTAATTTATCACTTCCTGACAGAGACTTGAAAAGGGACTAATGTGTAAGTACAAATCACCAATTTGCTCTTTTACAAATGGCTGCTTTTCCGGAGAAAATGGATATCTCTGAGTGGAGCACACGTTCTCATTTGTTTTGTAGAGTGTGTGAGGCTGCCAGGTTACTGTGTCCCTTCATTCACTCCATCAACTGTCCCTGAACGCAATTCTGTTGCTGTCTCCTCCAGTGTGTGGGGCCCCGGCTTTGCTCTCTTCTTCCCCGACCTCTCCTGCAGTGTGTGGGACCCCGGCTTTGCTCTCTTCCCCCCCACCACCTCTCCTCCATTGTGTAAGTCTTTATTTCCCCCTTGCCATTTCCAGCTTAATAGCTCTGCTGCAGAGCAGTGTTTTCATCCACAGCACCACTTTTAATCAAGATTGACTCCGGGAAATGCCACCATTTTTATGGTAATAAAGGACCACATTATGCACCTGGACCAGTACACATCGTCCCCTGTGCATACCTTTATGTGATAGAATTCTGAAACAGATTGTATGCTAAAATTACTTTTTCTTAACTGTAGTTTCTTTGTAGTCCATGAATGGTTTTCATTTGGATTGTAGCAAAGACAATTGTTCTAGGGTGAACATTTTTCCGCTTGAGTAAATACATTTTCCTTGTCCCTGTGCCCCCAAACCCTGGTTGCCACCATCTTCCTCTTAGGCTGTGACAAACAGAATGTTTGGTGGGAAACAACTTGTGCTCCGTCTCTAGACTGTCCGACTTCACATTTGTTTTGGTCTGTGAGCTGTTCCTTGGCTAATCTTCCAAGCTGAATTGATTCTTACTTCAAACGTGTTTATCCCAAAACAGAGCTGTTGACAAGTACAAATACAGATGGTGGACATGTGGTCTGATTTTCGTGTTCTCCCCTCAGCATTCAGAGACGGCTCACATCTTGAGCTTCTTGTTCGAGGCAGTATGTAATGCATGCTAGGAGTTCCTAATTATGTGACAGATAGTGACAGACACAAAAGGGATTTCCTTACAGTCTGGAAACAGCAGCTTCAATGTGTGTGTGAGGCTTATCACCCTGCAGGGTATAATCTACTTCATTAGAAACAAGCTCCTGGGAACAGAGTCTTTGATAATCACAGTGGCTCTTGGGTGACAGCATCCAGGCCAAGGGTCCAGTCTGCAGAATTCCTTCACTGCAGAGTGACATGCCCATCTCTGTACTGACTTTTGTTTTGAGAGAAAATGGTACTCCAGAGTGTTGGCTTGCCCTTGTAGAACAATCTCAGCATGGTATGGCCTTGAGGTTCTCATAGCCAGTCTACAATAGTTATTAGGGTTGGTTTGTCCTCCTCGAAAACAAGTCATTGTGAAAAGAAGGGGAAATGTATTTCCTTCCCCTGGTCCTCAAGAGGGCCCTGCTCAGCATAATTCATAAATGGATTTGATCATCTCAACTATGTTCATACCTTACAATTTCATATAAATGTGGGACAGGAGAACTTTGAGATCTGATTATTTTCTTCTGTCTGTTGTTTCTTCATGAACGTATTGGTTTTACTTCCTGCTTTTACATATTCTTATCTATCTAGCAAAAGCTAGACTTTCTGATTTAACTAAATTGTCATGCTGTTTTGTTTTTTCCAGTATGAATACTATCATCTGCAGTATTGAAGGATTTTATTTTCTTGGCAGTAGTTTAAGGGCTATACAGCAGACAGAAGTATAAACATATGCTAGAACTTTATAAAAGTCGTACAACGTTTGAACAATGGAGATAGAGTAGTTTACAAAAATGGTCAAGTCCATGTGGACTCCTTTATTGCAAACTCTGCTAATGGAACAGATGCTGGCATGTTTGGCAAAATACAATTGGGTAAAGGAGAAATCAGTTTTTGAAAGCTTACGTAAAATAGTATCAGAGAAACAAGTTTATTATCACAAACTGCTTACCTTAGTCCAAATCATCATTCAGTGTTTATATCAGAAGCCCCAATTGAAATTACAACAACAAAAAAGCTAAGAATTTGCTGTGTGTAACTGTTGAGTAAGTGACAGGACAGGACAGCTTCCCCTTCCGACTGGTGTATCTGAGACTCTCCAAATCCTAAAGGGTTTGAACAAGCTGTACTCAGGAGCCATTGGGAAAAGACTCCGCTCCTTGTGGTCACGGGGGAGAGTATAAAGAATTCATTCCCTAGCTCTTGTGTTTTTGCTTAGACTTAGAGGTTCCAGGAGCGTGCTTCACCAGCTGGGTTTTATAGCGGTGCTGGGATTCAATCTGGCTCTTCATTCCAGTATAGCGAGTGCTGTTATCCACTCAGTCATCGGCCCAGCCCCTGGCTAAATTATTTAACATGTGATTGACATCATGCTTGGTACTGCACTGGGACTAAGTAATTGTAAGATGGTTCCTACTCACTAGGGGCTTAGAGATAGGTTTCCAGAAAATACAGCAGGCCTAGAGCTGATCAGCCAAGTGCCTACAGCAGGATCAAGTGCATACACGGCGATATGACATAGTGATCACTGAGCGCTTTTTAAACATGTGCTGCAGTAACAGTGTGTGGTCACGTTTTGTAGTTTCTACTGCTGCATTGGTCTCCATTGCCAGCCCTGGAGAGACAGGGCTGCTGTTCATCTTTATACCCCTAGCATGTGACCAGCACTTGTTGGCGGTTAGTAAAGGCTGGCTGGAGAGAGAATGCCCAGACTATATTTCACCATTTATAACACTGACTGTCACCAGTGCCCCCTTTCAGGTACTGTATTGATTGTGTTTTTCTCCTAGCTTTCTAACTGCCGGTCATTTTGGACTCCTCTTTAGCCTCCTTAACAATCTGTTTCCATAGTTTATGTATTCTTCCATTTTCTTCTGTTTCCTCTATTAGCAGCTCAGTTGAGGGGTACTAGAGCATCATTTTATGTCTGGGTGATTGCAGCAAACTACCAACCCTCCTTCCAGGTCCCTCTGCTGGTCTGCTCACCCCTCCCCATGTAGCCAAGCTTCTCTTGGCCAACTTCTCTTGCTTTTGAGTTGTTCTGGCATCTTAGACCTTGGTGATGTGGTTTTTTTTTTTTTTTTAAATCATTCTTCTGACAACAGCTTCTAAGCACTGCTATAGTGCCTAGCCTAGTCCTTACAGCATCGCTGTGAGAAAGCAAATTCTTGTCCTATTTTACAGATGGGAAAACTGGGACTCTTCAGCATAAACTTGCCCAAGTCATGCAGTCATGTAGTTAACATTTGCTGCTTAACGAGAGAGAAAGAGAGAGAGAGAGAGAGAGATAGTAAGGAAGAGATTTTACTATGTTGCCCATAATCAACTTGGGCTCACTCAAGTAACCTGGTCTGCCCTCAGACTGTCCAGCATCCTGCCCCAGCCTCCTCAGAGAGTGCTCTGATGATAAGTACGTGCCCATACTTGGCCAGTTTCCTACCTCACTGCGAGCAGATTGTCCCCTAGGAAAGTTGTGTTGATGGGTTCTTTTATCAACAGTGTATGTCCATGGTGCTTTACAGAACGTAAGCATTCCCATGTGATGGTTGGCAGGGAGTGTTGCTTAGTGGTAGAGTGTCTGTCTAGTACACACCAGGCCTGGGGTTAGGTCCTCAGCATACCGGGGGAAAGGAAGAAAGGAAGGGAAAGAGGGAGGGAAAGAAAAGCGTCTATGTCAGTGTAAAAACTGTTTATCTGCATTGTTAGCAAGGAGAGTGAAAGGATATGTGAAGAAACTAGCACCAAATTCTTCAGGGTTTTTTTAATTGATATTTATCGAGCTCTACATTTTTCTCCGCTCCCCTCCCTACCTCTCCCCCTTAACCCTCCCCCCAAGATCCTCATGGTCCCAATTTACTCAGGAGATCTTGTCTTTTTCTACTTCCCATGTAGATTAGATCCATGTATGTCTCTCTTAAGGTCCTCATTGTTGTCTAAGTTATGTGAGATTGTGGTTTGTAGGCTGGTTTTCTTTGCTTTATGTTTAAAAACCACCTATGAGTGAGTCCATATGATAATTGTCTTTCTGTGTCTGGGTTACCTCACTCAAAATAATGTTAGCTCCATCTATTTTCCTGAAAAAGTCAAGATGTTGTTATTTTTTTCTGCTGTGTAGTACTCCATTGTGTAAATGTACCACGTTTTCCTTATCCATTCTTTGGTCAAGGGACATTTAGGTTGCTTCCAGGTTCTGACTATGACAAACAATGCTGCTATGAACATAGTTGAGCACATGTCCTGTGGTCTTCTGGTTTTTGATGTTAGAAAGTGTAAG